TGAGGGCATCACCAGGCATGGGGGGAAGGTGGGCGTCACCTTTACCTGGGCAGCACATTGTGATCGACCAGCGACAACGACAGCTGCCCCGCGTCATAGAGCTCAGTCAGGTCCACTTCATCGCGGAACGTCAACAGTTCTTCTGATATTCCGTTCTCCCGCAGGAAGAAGCCGCATTCCGTCCTGAGCGGGAAGTCTTCTCGGGGAATGTTCAGCACCGGGATATGAACCAAATTTTTACTGGAAGAGGTCTGATGGGGGGGAAAAAAAAGATATTAAAGAAAAAGTTCATTTTTAACCCATTTTACCACAATTTTTTGGAAAAAGGATCCACAGAGCACCCCCCTTCCAGAGGATAGCACACGGACGCGGGCTCATTGAGCGCACATGCCCTGGCCAGACACCTCTCATCTTCATTGGCTTCATCGGGACTGTGAGGCCGATATGGAGGCCGGCGGGTCATCGCTCCTCCCCGAGTTACGCGGTTTACCGGACATGGGTGCACACCTTGGACAGGAAGTAGGCCAGGGCGATAGCCGAAACCATGGAGTCCAAGTCACAGGCTTCGTTCCCGAGGACCACGTGGAAGTCATCGCCATCTTTTTTCTGGAGGAGAAAAAACAAAAAACAAACAAAAGGGTCAGTTGAGCTCCGGCATTAATAAGATGACAGGTCCTCTTTAATGTTGGGCATGGTCAGCCCAACATGGGCAGTCACTGTATAATGACCGGTTTTACCGGTAACTGGCCCATTTAACCCAACATTGGTGGTCACTGGCCCATATAACCCAACATTGGTGGTCACTGGCCCATATAACCCAACATTGGCAGTCACTGGCCCATATAACCCAACATTGGCGGTGTCTTACCCATATAACCCAACATTGGCGGTCACTGGTCCATATGACCCAACATTGATGGTCACTGGCCCATATGACCCAACATTGATGGTCACTGGTCCATATAACCCAACATTGGTGGTCACTGGCCCAAATAACCCAACACTAGTGGTCACTGGCCCATATAACCCAACATTGGCAGTCACTGGCCCATATAGGTCAACACTGGTGCTCACTGGGCCATTTAGCCCAACACTGGCGGTCAATGACCCATATAACCCAACATTGGCAGTCATTGGTCCATATAACCCAACACTGGCACTCACTGGCCCATATAACCCAACATTGGTGGTCACTGGCCCATATAACCCAACATTGCCGGTCACTGGCCCATATAACCCAACATTGGCGGTCACTGGCCCATATAAAACAACATTGGTGGTCACTGGCCCATATAACCCAACAATTCACACCCCTCATTATCGAAATGATCCTAAATCATTATTAGGTGCCAATATGGACGCTGCCTTTCCATCTCCTTTCCTACAACTCCTTGTTATTACAAACCTGGCGATGTGTGGTCATGTGACTATCCCACAGGAGACAATCATGGAGGCCACTTTACCACAATCACCGGACTGCACGGGCGGAGCTCAGGACCAGAAAAACCAATGATTCCAGGCGCCGGGTCTCGGGGACCTCACCTGCCTATCAGGAATAACCCACCGTGTGCAAAAAACATGGCGAGGCATTTAAAGTGGACCTGTCATCAGACCGATTGTAATGCGTCAGTGAACAACAATGCCTTTGGTTGCTTTTCTCTGCAGGAGGACAGCGCACCATCTTGGTTCAGGAATCATCTAGGCCCCACTCTAAGCCCAATATGGCCGCCAACGTAGCTCAATAAATGGATACCTCGCTTCCTGCGCAGGCGAGGGACCTTTAAATGATTATCAGGAAGTGACCGTATCTTTTTATTTTGTTTATTTATACTTTGAGCGCGTCGAATAATAAATCCGATCCGCGCACTTATGATTATTGATCAGCGTTCCGCTCCATATCCTCCTCTAGATTATCTCTCCTATAGGGAGCAAAACAAACACATCCGGCACTTAAAGCCCCGCCACGTCAGCGGCAAACTGCGAGCGGCGCCATAGACCAAACAGAAGCGGCGCGCTTGATGTGAAAGCGCAAAGTGGGCTCAGTCACCACCTACGGAGCCTGTTCTGGTGTTCAAGTGGACCTGTCATCGCACTTCTATGATAAACAATGTGTCATGTGACCCTTCCAGGTATTTATTCCCTCTCTCAGAGATCACATGACCCCCCCTGACAATGTCTTTAGCCGATTTCCTCTCTACATAGAGGGCTCCATCTTTGTTCAGCCGTCATCTGGGGGTCACCATCTACTTCCTGGACCGAGATGCCGGTGTTCTATCGAAAGCTCCAACTCGTCGAAATCTCCAACTACCTCACTGCCGGGTACTTTGCAAGTTGGAGATTTCGACCGGACTGCAAAACGCAAAGACTGACTGGGCTTCTGTACGGCCGCATTGTAACAATGTTCAGCAGGCGGCAAACTCGACGACTATTCTGAAAACGCCATGCGCGCATGCGCACCGCAACTGTAGAGCTCCGGTCTTTCTGAGCACCGGAAGTGAGGTGGTTGGAGATTTCGATGAGTTGGAGCTATCGATAGAACACCAGATAAGTAAAAGTTACAATGTTGCACTCTGATCACTGGTGGGAGCCCCTCATAATGGGCACAGCGGGTGTACGGACCCGGGAACTCAGCACAGGGATGGTGGGGGCCCCTCATAATGGGCACAGCAGATGATGTTTATTGAATTATGAGCAATGTTCCGTACCACCTGGTGCCCAATTTGTGACTCGATCACTTAGCCACGGGCCGGTGCGGTCGGATTATCCGAGTCAATAATCGGAGGAGTGGTGTATCCAGGGAACAGAAACATTCGCTCTCCTGGATAAGTCAAGAAGTCCGATGCCCGGGGCCCTCAGATTGCCGCCGTCCTCATAGCGAGGGCCAAGGGTTCACCCGTTACCCGGATACGGCGCCCATTCCTCACGGCGGGTGATCCTGTAATGTGCTTACACAATGCAAGGCCGAGTCACTGATTGATGGAGAGGAGAACTCGGAGGACTAATGCACCTGGCACCAGATGCCCCCCCCCCCCGGGCACCGGGCTTGCACGGGCCATTGG